CAGCGAAGGGGAGCTTTCATCTAGTGCATGTAAGATTTCCGACTCTCTGAACTGCTGTGTAGTACCTCTTTTTTGTCAAGCTTCAATAATGAGAGGGTTTCTGTTACTACTTTTGTAGATCACGATCTTCTTGGTCAGCATGCTATATTTGCTGATCACACGGCTGTATCATCTGCTGCTCATCCATGCCCATATATTGCCTATGTTGGAATTCACCCATCATCCTCAAATTCGAGTGGAAGTATCAATGATGGTCTTAATTTTAACAATCACTGGACTAGTTCATCTGTTCCCAACGAGATGCCTGCTTCTTATGCTTTCCCAGGAATGGATGTGCATTATCATAGTTGGGACCATCATTCTTCTTTCCCTATGGCAAACAGTCGTGTTGGTACTGCTGATCAGTCCTCGGTTCCTTCTGTTACTCAGAGAGTTGCCAGAACCAATGCTGATATCCCAAGACCAGGATCTTTTGTCCCTCCATTCCTTGTTGGTCACGGGTATGATATGTGGAATCAAAGGCAATAAATTTGTTTCTGATTAAATAATTATCAAATTCTGATAAATATGGATACTAGTTTGTACCTCAAAAAAAAAAATGTTCCTCCTACATTCCTTTACCTTTTTATTCTGTTTGGATGAGAGGATATAAGAAGGATTGAGGGCTTGGAGTACAGGGCCTAAAATGTAAGAAGAAAAAGGGGTATAGAGTTTGAAAAAAGACTTGAGTTTTTTTTTTTGAATTCAATTTACTCCTGCTTTAAGAAAACTTGAATCAAGCCATTATGTGGTGCTCCTTTTGGAAAATTCAGAGCGAACAAAGTTTTTTTGTTAACTGTTGTTTTTGCCTTTTAATGTGCTTTCCTCAACTACTTGGGAGTGAGGAGGCATGTTGTTTTTGTACTGATATTCAGATTGTGATGTTCATCGCTTTTGCAGTTCTGCTGCCAGAGCTGGGAGTTCAGTTGCCTCACCAATGATACCTCCTTATCCTGGAAGTGTAGCTCGGGCTCGTGACCGTGTTCAAGCTCTTCAAGCATATTTTCAGCAACCAAGTAATTCACCAGCTGTACGCACTCCTGTTATGTCTGCTACTCGACGATCCAACAATCACAGAGGGTTGGCTCAAGTGGGGCCGACTGCCTCATCATCTGATCAGGCTGGGGGCTTCTACTTCTATCCTTCAAGTTCTTCAGGAAGAAATTTCCAAGAAGCAGAAAATCCAGTATCAAACAGATATCATGCTTGGGAACGGGAACACTTGCCCACCTTCCCCTTCAGTCAGGTTGACAGAGATCCTATTTGGGGGCCATTTCATCACACAGGTGTTGGATCTGATAGTGGTAGCCGATCTGGCAGCTTCCGCCCAAGGCATGGGTCTGAGAGGATGCCGTCCCAGAACCGGTCATGAACTTGTTGTGCTGTTTTGATGAGAACTGTGATTACTATGAATGAACCCAATTTATGTATGTTTTGAGAAAACGATCTATAATGGTTGGAGTCTTGTCAATTTGGCAGGTTCAAAACTGTTTTGTGGCCATGAAAAGTGATCCCTTTCTGATGGCCATGAGTTGTGTGATGGGACTGTGGCGTCCTCTTGTTTCTGTGCTGTGGGGTATAAATAACATCACAATGTTAATGGCAAAGTTCAAGCTAGTGATTTGCCTCTTTTATCTGCAGTGCTTGGTTACCCATATTTCTGTCGTATTAGTAAATGGTTTAAACATTACGCCATTGATGAACCAGTTGAATATAGTTTTGGTCAACAGAACCTGTTGTTCAGATTGGTTCTACGGTTGAAGCAACCCACTGCATCCTTGTAGGGTGACAAAGAATTAAGTGTTGAAGCTATTAGACTCTTTAATTATCTTATATTTAGTGATAATGGTTCTATGGTACATTTTGAATGAAATAATGCTTATTTATCACAAGTCTTTTGTGGGAAGAGCCAAACATTAATGTTCAATTATGTCTAGACTTTTGCTGTGATGTTTTTCCACGAACACTGTTTCAACCTTGTGGCATTGCAAATCTTATTGCTTCTAACTACATTTACTACTAGCATTTTGTTTAAAACTAAAAATTCTTAGTTGAAAGATTTGACATGATCCAAAATAAGAAAAGAGATATTAATTGAAGGGTATTTACAATGCATAAGTCTCCCAGTTCACTGTGACATATCGTTGCACAAGAAGTTATCAGTGAACTCGTACGTTAAAAAGTCTGAAGGAAATCATAATTTTGCTTAGACTACATTAGCAAGTCTACCAGATGTTGAACTTGTAAAATTTGAAAAAAAGATAATTGTGATCTGTTGAAAATTGAGATTAGATCAACTTATTTTTAATTTTAAGACATAATCCATAAGATGTGAAGGGAATGAAGCTACATAGAATAATGGAGAATAACGCTATATTTTCAGTGAGCCACAGAAAAAATCCTTCAACTGACCATCACATGAATAAATTAGCAACTCATATGCGCAGGCACATCCAAATCTGAATCTACAGAAAATATTGGAGAATCCCAAAGACACTCAAATTGGATCTTGTTCCGATGTGGAAAAAAATCTTATTAAAAGGCATCTCGGCAAAAGAGGATTGAGAATCATAAGGCGAGACAGACATAATAAAAGGGTATGGAGACAACCAGGCCAACACTTTTACCGGATATGGGTCCGGACAATCCAAGAGCTACTACTGCTACAAGTGTTGAAAGAAAGAACATGATTATTATAGTGTTGACGTCATTCACTCTGATCGTCTTCGTTCATCGAGTAATAGCTATGAAAGTTGTGATTTTGATTAACAAGTCATTTGTTTGGAATAGCTAGATTCAAGAGGGTGAATCAAACATCTTTTAATATATATAGACAGATATCTAGGTGTGTTCTCATCTTTTTCTTCTTTGGCTTTATGTGTTGTAAAAGGCTCTTATTTATGTGATTAACTCTAATCCCACATCTAGAAAAAATAAAACTAGTTTAAGGTTTAATAGTAATTAGCTGGTTGTAACTAATGGCCGAGCTATGTAACGTTGGCTTGTAACCAAGTGGGACATTAAAGTGGTTTGGATGTTTGATAAATGACGCGGGTTCCGTAATCTCTCTACTCTCGACAATGTGCACGCCACAGCTCTACAGGAGCTGGCTGGTAGTACAAAAAAAACAAAACCTTGATTTGGGGTTAAGCCTCGAGAGGACCCCAAAGCTCTGCAGGATGGTGCCACTAGCCTGCATCATCTTATAGAGATGATTCTTCGGTTTCTGATTAAGCGTGCGTACAAATTAGTGAATAAACAAACCAATCAAACATACAACCACAATTGGGTCATATCGTGCAAATTAATGAATAAAGAGAGAACGAAAGGTTAAGAATTACAAACTATTTTTACTAGAAAACATAAGTATAGCTTTTAAGTGCTTCCCTTTGTATCAATTAAGCACCTTATTGATACTAATACAGTATATCAATTAAACGAAATTAGTTGGAGGGTATATAATGGTATTTACTTTGTTTCGTCATTCTGTTGGGCATCTCTACTCTCGGCGGCAGAACTGTGCACGCCATGTTGCGCTACAGCTTTACATGGTCCAGATGGTGCCACTAGCCCGCACCTTGCAGAGAAGATTTTTTCGGTTTTGATTAAGTGCCGATTGGTCCAATCTAAGATACAACTACTTTTTTTAAGTTCAAATAAAACACTTCAAGAAATAATATATAATAAAGTTGTTTTTGGGTCTTTTGATTAAATTGCTCAACAAGATCTAAGAAATATGCAACTAGCTCCATCCCTTTTAGGTACATATGTCATTAGTTCACTAATGAGTACGAAATAATGTAGAGCTTTTACTTGGTTGCCACTAATTTGTGTGGGGGTGGAGTGTCGAGCGATGTTACATTTTGTGGGATCTTTTATCTTTCTTCTTCCTTTTAGTATATATTTTGTGTTGTAGAAAGCAGTATGCTCCCACATCGAGAAAAAACAACATTGGTGTAACATATAAATATAATTAGCCAGATGTTATTTATTGCTGAGTCAGGTAACGTTGGCTTGTAACCAAGTGGGGCATTAAAGTGGTTGGATATTAGATATATGGCCCAATAATATGCAGAGCATGACGGACTTCTAGATGAGCTGGTAGCATTACAAAGCTTGTTTCCGGGGTGAATCTCGAGAGGCCCCGACGTTGTGGGAACTAACTAGTAGTCCCAAATGGTATCACCAGCCAAGCCCACATCTTACCAGGGATCCTTCTTCAATCTAATATACATACACTTTTTTGAAAATATAAAATACAAACACTTTTTTGAAAATATAAACATAATCAAATATTTTATGAGATATCGGGAAAAGCATTTTAAAAAGGAGAGGTAGCTTATATAAGGTGTCGATAGAGCCCACTAGACGCGCTTATTATAAGGTGGAAAATGATCCTTTGTATCAGTATGTATATTCGATTCAATCTAACATATGGTTATTTTTCATTTGAATTTTCAGGTAGATTTAAGTAAAATATTTCAAAGATAAACAGATGAATAAAAAGGATAATTCATTTCAAGTGTTTGACGTATTTTCCACGTGACCAAATATTCTGTTAGATATAATATGCTTAATTTATCGGAAAAAAGAACCTCATAACAAAAAGGGAAGGTAGCTTATTGTGAAGTGTTCATGGAAAAAAAAGTTCTTTAGATGAGTGAGAAAAAAAGACAGACTCATGTAATAATTTCATTTGCTCAAGTTTATTTTTTTGGCACACTTATATTGACAGACTATTATACATCCTAAGTCATAACATTGATATTTAGCTCTTATTTTGAATTTTATGGACAAAATTATCCCAAATATTGCAAAATTGAATGAGAAAGACTATTTGATTGAACGATACCATTTTCTGAGGAACTTCCCTTCATATTCTCAAAAGCAGTCTTGGCAGCAACACGACCCGGCTGCCGGTATTTCACAACATTACCGCAAGTCTTCCTCCACAAATCTCATGGCTTAAACGAAAAACATTTGATAATGGGTGGACTCACTTATAGCAGGCAACAAGTGACAAATCACGGGTCATATGTAACAGATATACATCCTCAAGTTTTACTTAACAGTTCAAGAAGCATGCATGGCGATTAAACTAGAACAAGTTTTTCTAAAACGCGCAACTAGCTAGCTAGAATTCAAAGCTCCATTACAACAACTCAAAAGATTTAACCATAGTAAGCACTGCGCTAAAAGCCAGTTCCTTCACATCCTGCAAGTCTGCATACTACTTTATTTTGGTTACAATCTCCGCTTTGTTTCTGTAGAAGTCTCATTCCGATATCCCCTGCATATAACATTCTCAAATGATGAACATGGAAATAGGTCTAATGATGACATGAACGCTACAACCACACAATGACTATTCAATCATACCGAAGAGCGAGAATAGGACAGACTCCTGCTCCTGCTCGGGCTCAGGCTCCTTCCGTGCCTCCAACGAGGTGGCTACAAGGCAGCAAAGATTATGAAAGCATAACTCATATACATGACTTAATATAGCACAGTTGGAACTTCAATATCCATAAAGAGGAGTTAAAAAGCTAGTGCTACTTACAGGTGAAAGTGGAGATCTGGATCTTGATAGAGATCTGCAAAAACCCCAGAAACAATTCTAGTTAATATCAATAGAATTCTGTGGCCAAAAGGTTCCAGAATGACCTTTCCCAAATGAATCCATGCTATACTTCCACGTCCACAATCATAGTATTTATCAAACAGCTGCCGCAATCTCTAATACCAATCACCCGACGGGAACACATTGAAACAAGAACCATTTGCAACACACTTTCTGGAGGTTGCATGTCCAATTTATGAGAGCCATAACAATACAAATGCCTGCTCCAGCCCCACGCTCTAAAAACAAAATAATTTTTATTTGTCTATTGGATTGCGTTCCACGAAAGGATTAGCCCCAAAACAACTTGATATATTGTTGTGAGGTAGATCCACCTTAATAACATATTAAAATGCAATTTACCATCCAGAGTTTGTCGGAGGTGCTCATCCACTAAATCAGGTTACAGCCACAACCAAACGAGTTGTCTGAATTTGAGCACCATTAACAATCACCTGTCTATATAGCAATTCCCAGATCGCCGCGGAAGCAAGATCTAGAAAACAAAAAAGGCAATCTTCGTAATCATCTTACTAAACCAAAAAGCTGGTCCGCTCTGAAGAAACCCCCCATTCAAAGAACAGATAGAGGAAGAAGAGAACAATGGAAAAAGGAAACTGCATCTCAATTCTCCCTGGAATCTTACAAAACTAGACAAGAAAATTTAGATTCATCCACCAATATTATTGCTACAGAGTTCTTTCACGATGTCATTCTCTAGTGGTTCTGGAAATCAACTTTTAAGTTGGAAATTCAAATTAAACAAGTCTATTCAATCGTTCAACTAAAAATACCCAACTTACAAAGTCCTTCCTCATAACTCAATTGACAACCAGAAAATATTCAATGAGAAACTACAAGAAGTCGTGATGGTTACGCCCTGAACTCCATCTCCCCAAGCCCCCCACCCCCTACCCGCAAAAAAAAACCCCATTAAATTCTCCTGATGTTCTCTTCTTTAACCATTCCTCCCCTACACCCAAAACAAGAGGAATTGTGAAAGAGAACAGTGTGTTGCTTTACGAAAAACGTAAAACGATGGCAATCTTTCCTTAACAAAAAGTAGTTGGTATGCGAAGTACAATAGAATTGCTATACAAAAACTTCAAAACACATGGTTCCTGGATACATATAATGCAACGCCAACAACAAACCCGGTATAATCCCACAAGTGGGGTTTGAGGAGGGTAGGATGACGCAAACCTTACCCAACCTTTGGGCACATATAATGCACGACATAATAATCACAAAATACAAACAATTATATAGATAAAAATTAATATATTGCAATTAATTGAAATAATACAAATTAAAGTAAAACCACATAATCAAGTTCAAAACCCCTTTCTTTAAAAAAAAACCTATTTAGATGCAAAATATGCAATATTAGACATCTAGCTCAGCTTGAGTGACTAGCTTCTTACACTAAGTTCCTAATTTCCTATTTCTAGTCGATTTCAAACTCTTTCATGACGCTTCTTTGATATCACTTTACAGGCTATATTAATTGTAAAGTGATTATCCTCTTTAATAGAACCCCATCAATTAACTTTAGACCTTATACCAAAGCATTTAATTAGCTGGTTTTGGTTAAGACTTGAGACACAATTTAGCAACATACACCATCTGCATTGAACCTTACTTCAAACCCCAAGTGCCTCTAACAACATCGAGGAAAGAATAAAACGTATGAGAAGACTGCAAAAGAAATTTAAATAGATAGACGAACTAGGCAACTGTAAAACTAGGCATTCATATGCTTCCACTACTTAGATTCGGAATATTCTAGATTAATAGAAGTGGAGGCATAGAACTACAGAAAATAGATGGTACAAATCCATCAAACTTAAGCATAAAAAGAGAGGTAGGTCACCTCATAGTCCTCATTCTTAAAGAGGGACATCTCCTTGTATAACTTCTCATCCAGTAAGGACTCGGGTTGACACTGATAACTTGGTGCCTGTAAAACTTCCCACATAACAGACCAGTCTATAACATATAAGCTTCTCTCATTCGTCATTCAAATAGCACCAAATTCCCGATTCTTCATCTATCGACCGCACGATAAGTGTCAAATTCATATCCCTCTCCAAATATATATAATTATATGATCATTGTTATTCCTACGCATTTCCAGTAATTATGATATCCTTCTATAGCTCATGAAAGATAAAGAGAGACACTAGATGTGTACTTCTCCATACATTCTGGCGATACTACCGTGAGTCTTTTCGACTCTACAGATCACTGGAAATGAAACATCAAAAAAGAAGTGATTGATCAGCTAACCAGACATCACCGCAGGAAATGTAGAAAACAAGCCCCTGTGTAGAAAATTGTGAGTAGTCCTTCCTCTAACAAAGGTGTCAATTCTTTAACCAGTCAAAACCATGAAGATAAGAAGAGTTAAAGATGCAAACAACAAAGAGACTCCTGATTCAAAATAGATTTTCCAATATACAGTCAAGCTGCTAGTCCTCATGCAGAATTTCTATCAAACAAGCATAAAAACAACACCAAAGAGGGGATAATGCTCAATTGAAGGAAAACTAAGGATCCTAAGAAGAACAATAGCAACCAGACTGCATCTGGCAGACTTACAGAAAGAATTCATAGGGCATGCTCATATGCAATCAAAACACGAAATAGGACTGTTTAAAACCCCATCTTCAAAACATACATGAACACATGATAATTTCTGAAGCATAAAAAATAAATATAAACCTTGATGTGAAACGAAAAAGTACCTTGAATGACAGCGAGCAGGGGAAAAATCCCTTGAGGGTGAGACAGACACAGAGCGACGAGAGTATTTACCCCTAGGAGATACACTGTCAACTGACTGTTAGAAACATGCTAAATTTTCTGGAGGTGCAAAGATGAAAAGACAGTCGGGAACCAAACCTTCCGCTCTGGCTGCTATAGCTTCGTCGAGGACTCCTGCTTCTTGAGTAACTTCTGCTTCTTGAATAATATGGACTTGGACTCCTGGAATAGCTATGCCTCTTATCATACTTATCCACCTAAATAGTATATAACTGAGTTAAATTGATGCATGGACACAGCATTGGACCCAGTATTTCTACTAACAACAGAGAACAGACCCTAATATATGCTCGAGAGAATTGATTGCGAAACAGAGAGTCATCAAGTTTCTTTATCTGCAAAAGCAAGAAAGAGGATACATGAGACTGACAGATCATAGAACTTCTTAAACCACAAAAGCATTATTACTACAGAGCAGAAAAAAACAGTGATGATGTTAAAGATAATAAGTAAATTAAAGCCTTTATATAGCCTACCGCATATCTCATATCATCATAGTTGGTATAGTCCACAATCCCTCTCATACCTGCAAAAATAGCAGCAGTTAACATCAACTGCTTCCAGTACAATGTTTAACCATCCTTAAAATTTTGTGCTTTAACTAGAAACAATGGAGGAAAAAAAGAGTAGACATTTTCCTTTAATTGTCAAAAGCCTTGGCATGAAAGCAATGTACAGAGATCTCGCACCATACAGTGTCTGATTAGGAATTGTTTGTATAACTATATTTCCTGAAGAACTTGCCCTATCCCAAGTAACACTTCTAAGAGCCATGCTTCTCGGGTCTTTCTAAGATACAAGCACCAAATGATCAATAAGTAACCTGACTGTCTCATGTGTTAATTTGTTATGTTCGGCACTCCTTCAGCAAAAATGTCTAAAATACTATGTTCCAATTTTTTTGTCTTACTTCCTATTTTAGTATATTTTCAAAAAGAACACCATTTACTATATTTAGAATTACTCTTTACATCCATAATCCTAGATGACATATTTAGGACCACAAGATTCAAAGAGCATTTTAGTAAATTAGACACGTCTTTAGTTTAAGATCACGAGATTTAAAAGTCATACATTTTTTAAAACTCCGTGCCAAGTCAAACTAATACAAACAAATTGCAACAGAGGGAGTATAACTTTAAAATAAATGTACATTTCCATCCTTGAGAACATACATGGATGAATCAAACACATCAAGAATTGAATAAATGCAACCATAGAAACTCCCACAATAAAATAACTCACCGTCACGATCTCGGAAAACTTGAGAGAAGCAGACATCTCCAGCTCGTCGCATGTGATCCTAGCAAAACCAAGTAAGAGAAACCACATTGATCCAAAGCTCTAGCAAGTTCACAATTTTTTACTGATCATAACATGACAGCTGTTATAAATTCTAACCTTCAAGTCTTGCCATGAAGCAGAAGATGGTAGTCCAGAGACCAGTACTGAAAATATTTACATTTTAGCAAGCAAGTGAAACCATATGAAATAAGTTAATTTTCAAGGAGGCAAAAATCATGATAACACTATCAAAATCAGACTAACCGCGATAGTCAGAGCGCCTAGAAAATCCACCATGACTCCCACTACTGTAACTACTGTGGCGATCATATGATGATGATCCTCGCCCACCATGTGCAAGTTCAACCTACAAAAATCATAATAAACAACAATATGGTAAAAATATCCGACTTCCAACATCACCACATCACCAAAAGAGGGGGAATGTGAGATAACTAACTCGCAAGCGACGCCCATCAAAGTCATAGCCATCACGCCCACGGATGGCATCATCAGTATCACGAGGATCTTCAAACTGGAACATATAAAAAGAATTGACACAATTAGATCTTATCAGAAATTCTGTAGCATAAAGAAACGCATGCAGAAAATTGAGCTATCTGCCGATACAACAAGGGATTGTTTGGTTTAGAGGCCACCTACGCCAGGATTAGTAATGTAAAGATGAATAATACAAGGATTGCATAATCCGATTATTTCTTGTTGGATATTTAGTTTGATAATATTATATATTAATAGTATATGTGTATAATTTTAAAATATATGCTTGCTTTTAAAAAGAAATTAACTATTATGAATGATATTCTGGCATTTTTAAATCCATGTATTACAGATACCCATATTCTTATTTCTCATTCTATTCCACATAAAATGATTCCCGCATAACTCATGCATGTATTATTTATAACGAAAACAAAAGGGATCAACTAAACAGTGTATTAAGTAATTCTTGTTTTTCTGTGGCGACTGAAATCAAACCCCAATCAAATATTGTGTAAACTAAAGTTGATTTTTATGTGGGGATATATCTCCAAAACCCCTAGCAGAATGATCCCTAAGAGAAAAACTAACATCTTGGTGATTCAATTCTTAGCAAAGAACTCACCTCTACGAACGCATAACCAGGTGGTCTAGGTGGAACTTTCAAATCAATTTCCACAATGGGACCATACTGCAGGAAATCACCGAGAAAATTCAAAAGATTAGCACTTGGCATATGGAAGAAAGGGGCGGTCGGAGGGGCAGCGTTATCAACACAATACTGGTCCAAACAACCAAAAGGTAAGTCAATACATATCAAAAAATCCATAACTTATAATATATCTCAAGCAAACCTACCTAGAAATCAATCAAGAGCAATTACATTACTGACAAATATAATGACAGAAAGACTTTAGCAATAAATTTAAAACATGTCTAATTTATACTACATTGCAAAGTTGTGTGGCTTCTCTGTAAGGAAAAGAACACAAAAAGTACCAAATTAGATGACTTTCAGGAACTACTTGGAAAACTGAAAGGCTGAATGAGTACTGTGACAGTAATAGAAGCTCACTGAATAGGTACAGACCATTGAAGAGATTAAGCTTAAATAAGGAAAAAACAAGTATTCTCACACTCTAGAAAAGCAAAAAGAGATGACTACGCTTTCATTAGAACATGAATTTGGATTAGACACCTCTTATCACTTTATTAGTCGTACAGGGTTTACTAATCCACTTAAGCACAGCTTACACAGAGGCGACCAGATATACACCATAGTACAAGAATGAAAACTTGCATTGGTAGCCCCCCCTATCTTTCCCTCTGCGTTAATCAAATTCATTCCTCCTCCAATCCAGCAAAAAGTACAAGTTCTCATGGAAACTATTGGCGCTCTTTTAGGTGGCATTAACACAAAAGGAGAAACAAATTGAAAGGTAAATGTATAGCTTAGTGATAGCGAGCACATGAAATTGGATTAGTAATTTATCTAACTAACCTTGTAAAACAAATCTTCTACTTCTCTCTCCCGAATATCACCAGGAAGATTTCCGACGTAGATAGTCCGACTTAGACGACCCATATTGCCTGAAATCAATACCCAAAAAAATAAGCAGCTTGTTCAAACATTGGATGTGGTAATGTGGACATTTTTTTAAAATTTATGTAATAAAGTAAGATTTAAGTGGTAATGTAGCCAGTCAAGAACGCAAATAAGAAAAGTTTATTTTCTTTTTGCTTTTTTGGTTTGGAGGGAGGAGGGGCTTACCAGAGTTGACCGAAGCTCATCAGTGAAAGGCCTTAAGGAATGGCCAAACTAAGGAAGGGTAAAACAAAGAAGAAAAGTAAAGTAACATTGCAACAAAATGCAAGAAGATAATCTGGAACTATTAACAGTTCTTGATTTGTTAAAGATAAGCTTCTACATAAAGAATATCGTTACAAACAATAAGAATCAGAGTAGCATAAACCATAAATTATCAATCTAAATCAATTCTTAAAGATTATACTACTTGTCAGCAATAGTAGTCACATCAAACATCAGATATACAGAGAAAATCACAAATTCTTGTTTTTTTCTTTTCAGCATATATGGTACGCCTAAAGTCATTCCTAGTGTTAGGTTGTTTGATGACATTTTCTAGCATGTTCCATCAAAAAGGGAGAAATAAGTTCCGATCATTTATGTACTCAAGTCGTTTTTCTTGCACTTACTATCAAAATGTATACCTAAAAATTTCATCAGAACAATACCAAAATTGTGAATACTATGATTAATCTTTAACTTTAATATATAGTACTACTTTTTAGGGAAAATAGTCATCACGCCAACACCAGAAAACATTTTTTAGGAAATTATTTTCCATTAAAAAAAATACTCCGTACCAAACACTCAAATTACCGCTGATTAATAGGACCGGGAGACAGAAATCAAGAAATTCAACCAAATTCGTTACTGATATATAATCCTTTAGATATTTAAACGGTTCTTATTATAAGTTCTTGATATGATCGCATAAAAAAAACAGTAGAAAAACCCTAAAGATTCTTCAAGAACTACGAAATAAAAAATTATGTTACATAGGAAAACAGAGTTTCGCATAGACAAAACAGAGAAGCAATGAAAAATTATAGTATATAGTTAATTAATTTTACCTAATAAATTGGATTAGGAAGAAGAAAAAGAAAAACAGATTACCTTGATGATACAACAACGAGAGGTTGCGTAGAAAGAAAAAAAGGATTAGAGTAGACAAAATAAATACAAATGGCTTTAGAAGATGCGCGGACTTATTTATAAGGGAGAAAAAAAAATCGCTCTCGTACGCTATGTCTAGAAACTTTCCTAAATCTAAACACGTCAATACATGACATCTGTCCTAGGACACTTTTGAATATTTAATGAAAAAGATGAGCGGAATAAAATATACTTTTCCAATGGTGGTTATTTTTTCAAAGGGAAAAGACATAGATTACCCATGAACTTGTATTGAAAAGTCAGTTACACGCTTAACATGACGATTCATTACACATTTTTACTACTTAAAAGTGAGTTTAATACCACCCTGGGACGTGTAACACCACTCTCAGGAGTCGTTTGGTTTGAATTCAAGTTATGATGGGATTAGTTATGATGTGATAAATTATGATAAGATTAGTTATGATGGAATAAGTTATGCTAAGATTATTTTTTATTCAGTGTTTGGTTTGTTGTATTCAAAATAATAAATCTTAAGAACAACATATAAATTTACAAAAATATCCTTCATGGATGTGAAAAGTAATGTATAAAAAGTGTTTAAAGGGACATTTTTGTCATTTAGTCATTTTATCCCAGGATAAGTTATCTCAGGATTACTATACCACTCATGGTAAGGGATAACTTATCCCGGTACTAATTATTAATCCTGGGATAAGTTATTCCGGACTTGCCAACCAAACAACAAATTAAGTGGCACTATAATTTAATCTCAGGACTATTTTAAGTTATCTTTCACACCAAACGACCCCTCACCGTATGTGGTGTATTACACTCGCTGCCACATCAGCGATACGTCAGCGCCATGTCAGAAATTATAATTTTTTTATATCCTTTTAATTTTTTCTTTATTAATTAACTTTTCTTTGCTAACTATATTTTACACTAATTAATTAGTGAAATTCTCTAATAATTATATCTTCTTCATAGCAAAATTGCAAAAAAGAAGATTTCTACATGGCCGCTAAGAAAACTTTTCGAAATTCAAAGTTGATTCGTATCGTGAAAGAATTGCTCCTGTTCCAAAATGAATCACAAGAAGACTGCTTCTGTTTCTTGACCATGAACTCGAGCTTCCAATTGCAAATATTTTTCAAATCCGGACATTACTTTTTTCTTTTTTTATGTCCTTCATAGAGGTTTCTTAAAAGTTAGGAATAATATGAAAATAATTTTCTTCCCCTTTTCAATCGATTGCCTATCTTATTTACTAAAAAAATCTCACCATAGCTCCACGACTGAAAAACTCCCAAAATTCTATCTCATCGATGACGTAAACAAACACAAATTAAAACCTACAAATCATAAGTCACCTAGTACTGTTTTGATTTCTTGCTGGGAGGTTTATCGGTAAAAAAATGATATTTTTGCAGTAACTTGTTACTACATTGCTTTTTGTTACTGATTCATTTAAGCTTATTTGGGTGTGAAGAAGATAAGAAGGGTGGGTATGAAGAAGAAGAGATGTGGGGGGTGGGGTATAAGGAGAATTCTGATTGTTTGATTGTTTTTTTTTTACTTTAATAATTATCTGACGCACATGATTTGTTTTTATTTTATTTTATTTTGCCACGTCAGTTTTAGGGGGTAAATAAATTTACTTTTAAATAGTATAGGTGTAAGAGGTTACCATGATAGTTTAAGTGTGTAACTGACTTTTTCGGTACAAGTTCAGGGGGGATCTAATTCCCTTTTTTCAAACGAAAAGATCTAATATATCTTTTAACTTTGTCATTTAGAGTTGATATGCCCCTCGTTATGAAAGTAGTTTATATATACCCTTATAGTTATACAAACGGCTCACATATACTCATATCGTTACAAAATGAGCATATACCCTTCATTTCATTTAAAGGAAGTGAAAAAAATTAGTTTTAAATTTATATTTTTTTACTTTTAATTTTAAAAGAAATTCATGTAGGGTATATATATGATCCTTCTAGCAAAGTTCAATGTATATTTTAATCTTTTTCATTCATAAATTATTTTTTGACTTCTTTGATTATCATTATTTGAGTTTCTTATTTTTTTCTTTCATTCTTTAGTGGATAGAAAAAAAATATTATTTTATTGTATTTACCTTTTTCTTTTAATTATTTTTAATCTAAATTTTTATTTTCACGCGCCTTTTTTGTGTGAAATAACGTGCTTATGCCAAATCAGCAATTAAGTCGCCACATAAGCTCAGTCAATGGTCAGAGGGGTTTAAGATGTTGAATTTTACCGAGTTAAAGGGTTCAGTTGACAAAGAGGTAAGTAGAAAGGTTCAAAATACAAACTCATACAAGTATAATGGTCCATCACTTCATTTCGCCTTTATATAATGCTTGATTGTTTCTAAAAAAAAAAAAATTAAGATGGATAAGAGAAGAATAATTATAATCTAATCATGAGAAAACGTATTTTTGATATTCAATTTCTCATATGTAGTGGATTTTGTTTTGAAAAAGGAAAAGAATATGATATATTCTTTAATTTTATCTTTACAAGTGATATATATATATATATACTAGATGGGAAGGCCCGTGGCAAGCACGGGCCCAATAGTCAAAATATTATGTTTGTTAAAATATTAATATTAATGAATCAAGGGTGATGGCTTTTGCAGAAGATGGATAATATTATATACTATATATATTGAGAATGTGTACAACAGACATCAGTATGATGCTGACCTGCAAAAGAGCAAATGAAAATTTCAAAAAGAACGATACATGATCAGTTAAAGGGGGGGGGAGGGGGGGGGGGGGGTTATGGT